GTAGGAGACTTTGTACAGCATCACTGTCTTATTCTATATATATTGTGGTCTGTAATTAATGGTATAAATTTGACTCCGTTTTGCCACCAACACCCTCTTTATCTCTACATGTGATGGAGCAGTGGCTGCAGAATCTCCCAGTTGACAGTTCTCATTGTGTTGTATGAATTTCATGATGTCTGACAGTTTTTATAAAGCCAAAACTCTGGAAGACTGAAAAATCTCCTGAGAGCCTCAGCTTTCAATTACAAGGAGAAAAAGGAATATTTTACTCTCATAATTGAGAATACGAGAAAGAAAGAGTACCTTTTCTGCTGCACAGTATGCTGAAGGCTCATTAACCCAAAGGCAAAATAAAATGGCTCCCAAAACACACACTATTTGATTTTTTTTTCCTGAGGAGGAAGGAGGTAATGGCAGAGAAGAGTCTTAAATTTTTAAAATCGAGTGAGAGTCATAGTGGAAATCGGACCTTTAGCCTTAACTGACATCAGAAAGAAAAAAAAAAAAAAAAAGTAGACGAAGGCTCTTTCTTGCACAAGTCATAGAGTTTTAAAACGGGTGCATAGTGAAAAAAAATATAAAGCCCTTTTAAAACATTATCATATCTCAGGGATAATAGCAAATGAATCTGTCAGACAGTGTACAAATAATGGAACAATGGAAAGATATTGCCTGGAATTGCCTTTGTACAAAGTAAAAAAATATCCCATTTTTATTTGCAATTCAGTATCCTTGCGTGTTGAATAGGAAACGTACAGACAGCTCACCGGGGCCATTACAGGTTGCTGTGCATAGTAATACTGGTGTATGGGAGCAAAAAGGCATCAGCTACRTCTTCTTTTGCTTCCTCATGTCTTTTTTAATATCAGCCCTGTGGAACTGATGTGCTAAACACTGTGCTATGTGCTCCTCCTATTTTCTAGGATGCTTGGATTAGTACACATTAATAAATTTTATTTTGCTTGGTGGCTGTACGTGTCAGCCATATATAATTACAATACAAGATAGGAACTGTTCATTTCTACACCGTTTCTAAGGGAAGTAAAGGGTTACTAAGGGAAGTGGTGTTTTACCACACATTCAGCATTACACAAAAATAGTCCAGAAGATCAAAATGCTTTCATTAAAKTCTCGGCTTTTCTTTAATTAACTTTAGTACCACAATGACCTATTTTGGATACTGCTAGCATATGCTTTCTGCACGATATATACACTTAGTTAGCAATATCTTGGGAGGTGCCTGAAAATCATCTCTTTAAATATTGAGAAAAGAGCAATTTGCTTCAGGACTGGACGCGGAGCCCTGAGGGAGCAGCGCTTCTGTGGGGGCAGGGAGGCCGCACACACTCTGTGAAGCCCCACGTCTCGCCAGGCTGGCATAGGGGGTCAGACCAAAAACCCTGCGTGCCTTGCTGTTCCAGACAACCCTTCCTCATAACCAGGCTTTGGGGGCTATATTTCTTTTTTTGTTGTTATTTTTTTTWCCTCCCCTTTTATTGGGGTGAAAGTTTCTAGACTGACAGCCTAAGATATTGGTCTCTTTTTTTTCAACCATGGTGAAGAACTAGTGTGGATAAAACCCCCAAATACTACAGTCAGTCCACCTGAGCCTTCAGTTCCCATGCAGTTGTGTAGGTTTGGAGAGCTGAGCCTCATCATCTGTTCCCTTGTGCCTCGGACACCAGACACGTAGCTGATAGCCACAGCCTTCRTCTTCTGGCTAGCTTGAATTTGTGATTCAGAAGGTGAAGGCCTCCTGTCTTATTGCTATTTCATTGCTTTCTGCACACACTTTCTTTGACTTGTACAAAGTTACATACATTTTTTAAAAATATACATCTTTACCTCTTTTAAAAATTTACCAGTTTGGGTTTTTTCTGCAGAGATGAATCCACTGCAGCCAGACACTTCTGCGCGCTTCCGCACGTACTGCTCAGTCTGCACACTTTTGAATTTAGTCATGTTACATCCTGTGTTACCTGATTAAGATCAGTAGCTGGGAGTTGATCATTTAATTGACTTTTCAGAAACTCAGCTAAAAGTTTCCTGTACCTTCCCCTTTATACATGGGGAATAAAATGAAAGCCTATAAAGCACGAACCAGCACAAGTAAACAAGTAAAAGCACTTTATTCCTTAACAGCTTAAATCACTGTGAGGTCCTTACGCCACCAGGACTTCCCAAATATTTGTAKGAATTGCATGAAAATTGCATGAAAATGGCACAGGCAGGTTGAATCCTTTCAACTGCTGCCATGGGACCCAGTGAGTTTGACCCAGGCCTATGCAGTACCTTTGGCGAGCTCCTTCTCTAAAGCCATGGACATCCACCAGGTGTCCAGGTAGCAAGCTGGGCTCTTTCCTCCATGGTCTAAACTCAAGGACAGGATTTGCTGCTGTGATCCTTGAAAAGCAGACAAGAAAGGAGGAAGCCCCAAACCTACACGACCTCCCCAAGTGAAGGCCACTAACTTCGGAAAAAAAAAAATCAGATTTGCCCAGCGACACATAATTTGCTTTACAGTAACTAGTTCAAATGAATACTCAACATCTAAATACACAACTAAGGCACCAAAGAAACACACTCCCAAGCTCCCACAAAGCCTCTCTGAAAGCATTTTGGTTTCTCCAGAACACTTAGTACTCACTTCAACATTTTAGGAAAATGGGGAATATCGTAACTACTAAAGTAAATCCTCAGCTTCCAAATTTCACCGTCATTTAAGAGATTTAAAAAAAAAAAAAAAAATCAGTGAAGTGTCCTAGGCCTGCCAGCAACATGGGGTGTTGCCACTTACATACGGAATTAATTCAATCATTTCTAATTTTACAAGCTACTAGTATTTTTTTCCGGAATGTTTAGTTTTATATTAGAAGATAAATTATGGATTTTTATTCTTTTATACCAATTTTTAGGATCATTCAGTGGACAAGAGATTAGACAGCTGTGTTCCAACACATTAGCAACGTTTTAGTATTTGCCGACAACACTGCTCACTATCTTCAAAATGCTACAAGGCCTGTGTTAACAATGGAGTTAATATATTAATAAGCCAGATCTTAATTATTACAATAAGGTAGCATATTATTTAAAGAAACTATAGATATATACAGCAGAGGCTGGCTCTGTGCAACAATAGTTGGGTTCTCACTAAGAGCTATGCTATGGGTGTGGCAGAGGAACAAACAACCAGATGTTCGTCTTTATCAATTTCAGTATTAAATCTCAAAAGAATATATCAACTGAAATATATACTCACATGACAACAAATTATAAGCAATGCAACTCTTTTACTGAAATCATCTAAAAACTAGCTTCGAGGTATGCAAATATATATTACTATTGGTCTGAGCATGTATCAAAAAAATGATGATGACTGATGTCCAAATCATCTCCAAAGCGTTTCTAGCATCCCACGTACTGGCAACTTAGGCTTCACATCCAGGTCTCCAAACAGAGGACATAAATACCATCCAGGTTTTAAAACATTTTATTTGCATATTAAAAAAATTGTGCATTCCAATAATTAAAATCATTTGAACAAAAAAAAATGGCACTCGATTAACTGCATTTTACAGCTCGCAGGACCTTGGTACAGCTTTGCATTTATTCGTGTGTTACTCTAGTTTACTGTAGTCCCACCCAGGTTCTTCTTTCATCAACATGCAAGCTCTTTCATGCCACCAGGACCAAAGCCAGACAGGCAGAGGGAAAGGCAGCGCCTTCATTCAGTGTCAGTAGTTCTCTCTATTCTTTTGATGTGAAAGGGGCAGTACAGTCATTTTAAACTTTATCCAACCTCTTTGCATCTTACAAAGTTAAACAGCTAAAAGAAGTAAAATAAGAAGGCAATGCTTGTGGAATGTACAGTGCATAATTTGGAAGGGCAGATTTCATTACGATTCACCCGCTTGCTTCTCCTGTTCAATTGCTGAAAGGGGAGGGAAAAAAGAAAAGAGAGAGAGAAAAATAAAGATCAAGAAGCCGAGAAATGTATTTACAAGATAGTTACTACAGTTTTGTATAAATTGACATCTATGAAATTGAAATATAATTTTTAAATTTAAAAAAGGAAAATGCCTTTTTTTTTTTTAAGGGATTTGGTGTGGCGACGCCGCAGGCGGCTCCCTCCTTCCCTCCCTCCCTCTCTCCCTCCTTCTCTCCCTCCCTCTCTCCCTCCTTCCCTCCCTCCCTCTCTCCCTCCTTCCCTCCCTCCGCTCTTTGTCTGGCGCTGCCCCGCGCCGCCGCCCGCACTCACTTTCTTTTGAAGGCAGCGGGTTTTTCTCTTGCGTCTCTGTCTTCTTCAATTTCGACTTGTCGAATTTCTCGATCTCGGCCATGTCGGGTTTGTCGGACATGTTGGCAGGGGACTCTGCGCACACAGCGGGAGAGGGGCGCGTTACACCGGGCGAGGGCTCCGCTCCGCTCCCCCCGCTCCCCGTTCCCGGCGCGGCAGCCCCAGCTCGGCGCACGCCGGGATTAAACTGCGCAATCCCAGCGCGCGGCGCCTCAGGAAGGGCAGGGAAAGGAGGAGGGAAGGGGGAAAACGCCGATTTAATCCAGCATCAGAGCCGCCGCCTGCCCCGAGCATTTGCACGCTGCTCTGGGGGGTACAGCAGGGCGCAAGCGCCCGGGTTTCAAAGCGTCGGGGAAAAAAGGAAAAAAAAAAAAAAGAAAAAAAAGTGGAGAAAAGAGGGAAAAAATCTATATGCAAATAAGAAATACAAAATTAARCCGCCCGGAGCACAACAAAGCCCGCTCGCCGCTCCCGACGCGCAGCGCCACCGCCCTGCAGCAGCGTGGCCCTGAGACAATAGCCCCCGCGAGACAATAGCCCCCCCGCCCCACAACAGCCCCCTGCCCTGCCCAGCCCCGCTCCGCTCCCGCCGCGGCCGGGCGCGGGCAGCGGCGCCGCCGCGGGGGTCCCGGCGCGGGGGGCCGGGCCGGGCCGGGGGGCGGGGGGACCCACCGGTGTCGCCTCGCCGGGTGATGCTCAGCCCCGCAGCCGCTCCGCTCCGCTCCGCACGCGAGTATAAAGAGGCGCTCGCTGGCGGGGCGGTTTTATCCCCGCGCCTATGCAAATGCTGGTGATGTCACCGGGTTTTGCCGCTTTCCGCCTTTTTTTTTTTTTTTTTTTTTTGCTTCCTTCCCCTCCCCTCTCCCGTCGCACACGAACCCGCTACGGCGCCTCCGCTCCTGCAAGCGCGATGCGGGCGACGCCGGCGCCTTYCGGGGGGTCCGCGCTGCCGGGGGGTGGGTCCCCAGCTCCGGGGTGCCCCTTCGCCCACTCCCCTCACGGGGCCACGGGTGACCGTGACACCCCGCGGCGCAGCCCGATCCCTGCGGTGGTGGCGGTGAGGGGGGGACGCAGGGGACACAGACACGGGTGGGCGCCCCGCTCCCGGCGGGAAGGAGGGAGGGAAAGTGGGACCCCTCGGGGACTCATCCGCGGGGGCTGCTCCCAAACCGCCCCCCGCCGGCTGCCTCTGCCAGGGGAGCGAGGAAACCCGCAGCTCTTCCTGTTGCGGGGGGAGAAAGGAGCCCCATAGCCCGCCTCGCTGCCCTACCCTATGGAGAGAGGGAAGGGAAGGGAAGGGAAGGGAAGGGAAGGCAAAGGTCCGTTCCCCGGGAGGCAGAGGCTGGAGGCGGACGCTGCCCTGCCCGGCAGCCCGGGCTGTGCGACGCCTCCCTGCTTGGCCACTGCAGTCAAGGGTGGCCACCATGGTGGCACCAGCTCCAGTTTTCCTCGGGGCTCACGGGGGAGTTCAAACAGCAGGCCCCAGCCAGCAAATGAGCCTCAAAATAGCGTAATCTGGCTGGATGGGCAATTGTTGGGGGGCAGGAGGGGATGAATGGAGCGGGATACTCATTTCTGTGTATACAGTGTCGGGTAGTAAACCGAATTACCCGTGCAAAATGAGCGGGGGATGCAGGGGGTGTCTGTGCACGTGCGTGGGAGAGTGACAACACGGCAGGCAAATCTCTGCGCCTTTGTCTAGCAGCGCAGGAGGAGGAGGAGGAGGAGGAAGGGGGGAGACAGGAGACTCGAGATGTGAGAGGATGGGACAGGCCTTGTGAAAGCCGGGATTGGGCRTGTGGAAATTAGCTAAATTTCTACCGCTCCCGGCCAGGCCATCCGTGTAAAAGCRGCTCCTGGGTGCGTTGCGCCTTGCTCCCTGCCCTCCGGCGATGTTTCTCATGTGAGCGTGATTGCTGCTGAATTAAAAGCCGTGACTCGCGCGGCGTTGTTGGATGCACGGAAGGCTGTAAATACATTTCAGTCAGTTCCCCAGGGATGCTGCGTCTCGCCTCATGCCGTGCTCCTCCCCCTTGGCCAGCCATTTTTCATAACATTTCCCGAGCCATAATTTTGCAGGAGAAGATCTTGGCCCTTTGTCATTCCCAGTAAACTTCCTATGGTGAGATGGGATTTCCAGTCTATGCAGAGCCTTCCCAAGGCAGAGTTCGTGGCTTCCATTTTTCTGCCTTAGTGTATGAGCAGCTCCAAAACTGAGATTAACAGGGTGTATTGCTGTGCTGTGACCTGGGAACCGTGTGACACTGAAGGCCAAAGGAATCACTTAGGAAAGAAATGACAAGGTTCATATCGTATCATGTGGGAATATTTACACATTTTCATAAGAACAGCATTAAACGGATTCTAGGGGGATCTTCAGTACCTGCCAGCTTTGCTAAGGTATGATTTAGCACATGGTTGCTAAAATGAGTATATTACAAAGTTTACTGCTTTGACACTTTTGGGCATTGAACCTTGTAACCATGAATTGTGAAATTTATCTAGTTATCAGTTCATCAGCAGGCCCGATAATACTGTAGCCTCAGACTTCTTAGTTTGGAAAGAAGATTTTTTGACCTCTCAAGAGGTGATAAGAAATTTGATATATGTATTTTTTAGAGTTTTTCTTCCTGTCTGGCTCCTGCTATCCTTTGGCATGTGCCAAAACAAACCTGCATGTGGTGCGGGAACTCCCGAAATTGGAGTTTCTGAGCAAGCACAGTTAGCAGGGCTACAGTTTGGTTTGTCAGAAGCAGCTTGCCCATTAACAGCTTGTCCATCGCCACCTTTTGCTTTGCTCCCTTAAATCAGCATATCCCTGGAACGTAAAAGGAGCTTGGCTCATTTCGATGAACCCAGCTCCTCTGATAAGTTTTACTGATTGCARTGCTGAGAGACAAAGGCAAATAAAGGCTTTGCACTTCTGTTTCTTTGCTGCCTTCCTATGTCCCTGTTCTCATGAATTAATGCTGATAGCCACAGTTTCATCTTAAATAGAAAAACTTTATGCATTTTGTTACATATGTGCAGATAATATTGTCTCATGGAAGCAAACAAGGGTTTTATATTTCAGTGGCAAGGACATAAGCTATTTTTTGTAAAAGCAAATACTCTTTTAATGACATTTTTCATTACACATATGTGTCCTTCTATGTTTGCTTCTCTTTGTTGCTATTTGGAGAATGTAAAATTCTTGTTCTTACAAGACTGCCCTATGTCAAAAGACTATGGCGGGTAACAAACTCCAAAGTGCACTTGAATGTTGCAAAGCTGACATCCTCAGTAAGCTCCCTAGACCACCTTACATAAAAGATAGCTGGCTTTGGATATTCCTATTTTGGATATTGATGAGCTTTTATGGCTTTTAGTGCTTTGTTGGCTTTTGTCAGGAGTCCTATATCATGATTATTAAAAAAAAAATCGTAAGTACTCAGTGATGTGGTGCTAGTACCCCTCTAGACATGTCTCCCCTTAGCCACCTGCTTGCCTGTGTTAAAGGAGCACACTCTTCAGCACATTGCTGGTCTCATTTGCTAGAACTCTTGCAATGTAGTTTGCAACTGCACCAAGGGCATGAACTATACGAAGGCTGCAAGTCCTTTCTTGCATTCCAGAAATCTGCAGGGTAGGAGATGTAGTACCTGCTAAACTGTAGTTCTTATGTCTCATTTTGTATGTCCATGTTTGAAGCCTTGTAAGAAAGATCAGCGCTGCCTTTCCAGGTGAGTGTATATGATCCCTATTCGTGAACCTGGGAGGCCAGGATGGTAGAAAATTTGCCTCAGCCCTATTCAATGGGAGCTTAATCAGTGAAAGTGTCTATATCTAAAATTGATTTCAGTGGACTTTGTCTTGAGTATACTGAATCTTTTAAAATTTGAGCAGTAGCACAAACTGTATAACCTTGTGCTAATTTTTACATACTTGAGACTGCTTTTATTGCACGAACTTGATAAGTATTAGTGCAAACAAACAGAGGACACAAAATACATATGTGATAAAGCAGCAGAGATTAATTCCCGTATCAGCTTGTTATTCAAAATGGAAGAAGGGATTCTTGGCACATCAGATAACTAGACTGAGAAAAAATAATCTCTGTATGTAGATTTTTTCATCATATGGAAAACAAATTAAAGGAAGAGGAGTCAAGAGATTGCTTTACAGATTTCAGTTTCACGTGTGAAATCTTATTCTCACATGCCCCTGGTGCTTTTCTCTAGCTCAGCATACTGTTAGAGGAAACATGAACTGGGAGCTAAACACGGACAATGACTTTTTGTAGTTTCTTCATTCACTACCTAGCTGCCAGCACCAGTACAAGGGTGTTTATTGGGGCATTTGGGTGCTGGAGTGTTTGTTAGGACACACCATTTGTTTTGTGTTACTTTCCACCATACACTATCTAATAGAAGAAGAAACAATAGTAATTCACAGAGCAATGTGCCTAAAGGGAGAGTCTCCCCTCACTCCCCACCCTACCAGCTTGATTTCAGAGAAGCACCTGTAAAATGCCCCTTCTCTCTGGACAGAGACTGGTGCTAATTGGCTTTGCAAATAATGGCACTTCCTTTCTCACTGCTCTTGACAAAGGGAATTTTGCAAAAGGTCAGGACTTTAAGCAGGTAGCACTGTGGGAGAGGGGAGGCTGCTTTGGGAAGACCAGATTGTCCCACAGGAAGCGATATGCCCCAGAGCAGCAGATGCTCCTCTCCTGCACTGATCTGCCCCACTCTGGCTTTGCTGCCTCCCCTTCACCCAGGAGCAACTTTCTTTTAGTGCAGGCAGAAGTAATTGCAACGCAACAGGAATATGGTATTTGATCCTCTGAGTGGAAGGCTACATGTATGCAGTCTATAATAAAATGCACAAGATGGGAAGCCTGTCAGCTCTGGCTTCCACCTCTTGATGGTAGCTAAGAATTTACTCTATCATGTTCTGTTTTTTTTTTTTTTTTTTTTTTTTTTTTTTTCACACATAGAGGAAGCAAGAGTGGTATGTTCCAGCATTCCCACAGAGCTCTGTAAATCTGTAGGGAATCCCTGAGCCTTTAGTTATTTGCCTACACATTTCACACAGGGAATGCTTTACAAAGGTCTTTGGCCTGACAGTGTCCAAACCACTCTTTTTGGCTGGAGTTCTCTGCTACCAGATGTATGTGCAAGCACTAAGTTTAAAAGCCATCTCTAGGAATAGTGTCTGGTTGATTTACAAGGTATTTGAGAGAACTGAGAACAATAGCTGAGCACATCTCTTGTCTGAAGAAGGCATTTCTGTGCCAAAGTTCAGCAAGTATTTGTCATCGCTTCCTGGTTTTTGTAGCAACTTTTTATGCAGTTTACATGAATAAAATCAGTATTTTTGAAAGTACATAAATAACAGCATCTGCATAGTGCATCACAAACGCATCACCACCCTACTCCTAGTGCAATTCAACTCTATTTTGCAAACCCTTGATTATCCAATGCTAGGCTTAGATTCTCCTGAGTATAATAGCTAATTATATGGCATTTGTCAACAGAGTACAAAGAGAAATGGGGAGCCTGGGTTTTTATGTTACTATTGAATTTGAGTTTCTTTCAATGCAAAGATAAAGTTAGATATACATTTAAAATACTATGGCCTCTTTATTCAGTATACAAACAAATCCATATATCTGAAAGACAAGAAGGCTGTTCTTCTGTTCTTATCACAACTCCATTAAAAAAGAAAAAAGATGGCCAAAATAAACACAATGAAGGAAACAATGGCTAATGTCATTA